AATTTTCCACCCTTTCTTGCATCCACCTGTCTTGCAACATTTCCATTTTCCCACTCCTTGAATCTGGACTGTACCTGTAGTTTGCTTTGGCCAGTAGAATGCTGTGAACATGGAAATGCATCCACGTGGAGCCTGGGACTCAAGTGGTGTTGCAGACTCTGCTCACACTCTTGGAACCCCACCCAGCTGCCATGTGGACAGGCTCGGGCTAGCCTGTTGGAGCAGAAATGAGCCATCGCAGGTGAGGCCACCTTAAATAAGCCAGTCCCCAGTCAGCCCGTAGCTGACCAGTGATGCATGAGTGAGCCCAGAAAGACCAGAAGAACTGCTCAGCTGAACCCAGCCCACGGCTAAGGAACTAAACCACAGCTGTTGTTTATAGCCTCTGTATTAGTTGCTAGGGCTGCTGTAACAAAGTACCATGAACTGGGGGGGCTTAGGAAAGAGAAATGTATTGCCTCACCGTTCTGGAGGATGGAATTCTGAAACCACGATATCAGCAAGGTTGGTTCTTTCTGAGGGTCTTGTGGGAAGATCAGTTCTAGGCTTCTCTCCTTCCCTTGTGGATGGCCTGTGTCGCTTTACATCATCTTCCTTCTATGCCTGCCTGGCTCTGTAACCAAATTTCCCCTTTTTATAAGGACATCAGTCCTATGGGATTAGGACCCACCCTAATGACCTAATTTTAACTTGATTTCCTCTGTAAAGTCCCTACCCCCAAATAACATTCTGAGATACTGAGGGTTAGGACTTCAAAATATCATTGGCGGGAGGGGATGGGAGGGAGACACAATTCAGCTCATAACAGGTAAATATAACTTTATAAAGAAAACAATTTTAAAAATCACATTTATCACTTATATGTGGACTCTTTAAAAAAAAAAAATGACACAAATGGGAATTTCCCAGCGGTCCAGTGGTTAGGACTCAGCACTTTCACTGCTGGGGCCCACGTTCAATCCCTGGTCGGGGGACTAAGATCCCACAAGCCGCATGGTGGCACGGCCAAAAAAAAAAAAAAAAATCACCACAAATGAACTTATTTACAAAACAGGAACAGACTCACAGACATAGAAAACAAACTTATGGTTACCAAAGGGGAAAGGGGAGGAAGGGATAAATTAGGAATTTGGGATTAGCAGATACAAACTACTATGTATAAAATAGACAAACAACAAGGTCCTACTGTATGGCACAGGGAACTATATTCAATAAATTGTAATAAACTATAATGGAAAAGAATCTGAAAAAGAATATATATATTCAGTTTTATATATACATATGCAAATATATTTATATATAAATATATGTATATAAAACTGAATCACACCAGAAACTAACACAAACTTGTAAATCAACTATACTTCAATAAAAAATAAAAACAAAAATATTTAAAGGAAAAGAACCTTGAGCTCTTTCCATTGTCCATTCTTTGAGGAAAATGTCCCCTCTCATGATTTCAGCAAGGGTGGACAAGTATCCATAAACCCTTAAGAGTGAAGATACTATTGAGTTGGCCAAAAAGTTGATTCGGTTTTAAGTAAAAATAAAAGACACATTTTTCCCACGAACTTTACTGAAAAATATATTCATTAACTGAACAAACTTTTTGGCCAACCCAATTTATATCACTGTAGTAAAATCACCACTATTTTTCATTCAAGAAAAAATATTTTTTCTTGGTATAAATTGAACTATTTCTGCTTTTCTTTGGTAAAATCATACTTGGTGTTGTTGTCTATCCAAAATGAGGCTAATGTTAGTTAAAAACCACCATGGACTTCTGCTTCTGGCCAAGTTGGAGTAACAGGGACCAGATTTTCCCTCCCTTATGAAACAACCATAAAAGGGGCAAAACATAAAACATAGTGCTTTTTAAGACAGTGCACATCAGGCTACAAAGGACAGTGGGACATGGGAAATGAATGAAGGGAGCCCTACCATTTCCCTGGCTTACTATCTTAAGAGCGTTTCTAGGTCACGGTGCAGGGGGAGGAATCCAGGCAGAGCCCTGTAGACCCCCTGAGTTGAAGAGATGGAGCTGAGAATCCAGGAAAACCAACGTGGCCTGAGTTCCTAGGAAAGGGTACTGAAACGAATAGGGCCACCCGGAGATCTGCAGAGGGTCCCCCTTGAGCGCTTAGCAGAACCAAGGTTCAAGGCCAGGGAAAGAACTTCCCAAAAGGGTTAAGGAAACAGTGTTCAGTACTCACACCAGGCAGGCACACGTAGTATCATAAATGCAGACTATTCCAGCTTTCTTTTTCTTTTTGGCCGTGCGGCATGGCATGCGGGATCTTAGTCCCACCACCAAGGATCAAACCCCGGGGCCCCAGCAGTGAAAGCGCTGAGTCCTAACCACTGGACAGCCAGGAAATTCCCTCTTCCAGCTTTAAAAGATATAAAGCACAGCAGCGATTGCCTCGCACATTCAGGAAGTGTTCTTAGCATGGCCCACAAGAACCTGAATTACCCGGCCTACACTTCAGCCTCATCTCTGGGCCCTGCCTCTGTCTCAGTCAGTTTATTGCCAATAAACTGCTATGTAACAAATCGACCCTCCACTCAGTGGCTTGCTCCTGGCTTACTCCTGTTGAAGCCCGGAACCACTGTATGAGAAGTTCTACTACTCTCGGTCCACTGTGCTGTGAGGAGGCCCAAGCGAGCCACATGGAGGTGTCTGGCCAGTCCCAACACCCACTGCATGGAGAAGAGCCAGGCCCCAGATGTATGGACCAACTGAGCCAACCCAGCCATCCCTGGCTCCCTGTCCACCCCGATGAAGTCCCACTGTGGGGCAGAGATGAAGCCCTCCCTCTGTGCCCTGCTTGAATTGCTACTAATAGAACGTTTTTTCCTAATAACCACAGAATAATGAAATGAGCATAATAAAATGTTTTTCTTCATAATACTTCCACATCATATACTTGAATAGAAAGGTCCTTTCCTGTATTTGAGTAATCCCTGCCTTTTTTTAAAGAGGGGGGGGAAAAAGCTTTTTAGTAAAAAAAACCCAAAAAACCTTCAGCCTTCTGAGCTCCCTACATGGTTTATGAGGAAAGCGTAAGAGGCGTTTTTTATTTTTATTTTAAAAAAATAATTAATTAATTAATTTTTGGCTGCACTGGGTCTTCGTTGCTGTGCACGGGCTTTCTCTAGTTGTGGTGAGTGGGGACTGCTCTTCATTGCGGTGCGTGGGCTTCATCGCGGTGGCTTCTCTTGCTGCGGAGCCCGGGCTCTAGGCGCGTGGGCTTCAGTAGTTATGGCACGTGGGCTCAGTAGTTGTGGCTCACGGGCTCTAGAGCACAGGCTCAGTAGTTGTGACACATGGGCTTAGTTGCTCCACGGCACATGGGATCTTCCCAGACCAGGGCTCGAACCTGTGTCCCCTGCAGTGGCAGGCAGATTCTTAACCACTGCGCCCCCAGGGAAGTTCCCTGATGTTTTTTTAACTATTCAAATGTAAAACTAAACCAGAAAAAAATTTTAAAACCTTGGTGGCTTAAAACAAAAATCCTTTCTTCTCATGCTTACAGGTCTGTGGATTGGCTGGGAGGCTCTGCTCCATGAGTCCCAGGCTTGGAGGGGCAGTGGGCGTGTTCTTACCATGCAAGGCCAGAAGCTTCCAGAAGGATGAGAGGAAACCCACAATGCCTCTGGACACCTACACATAAAACAAAAACTTGAAAAGTAAAGAAGGCATGTTTCCAGTGGAGTGAGGGAATGGGGGGAGGGGTAAAATAGGGGTATAGGATTGAGATACAAATTACTATGTATAAAATAAATAAGCTACAAAGACATATTGTACAACATAGGGAATATAACCAGTATTTTATAATAACTATAAATGGTGTATAACCTTTAAAAATTTGAATCATTATGCTGTACACCTGAAACTCATATAATATTGTACATCAACTATACCTCAATTAAAAACAATAAAAAGCAGGTGTCATGGTTTAACGGGCAGCCTTGGGAGTATGTAAAATAATATAGTATCTCACAATCTGTAGCATGTTGATTCTGGTGACATACATACGTCTTCCCATTGTATATTCACACGTTTCTCTGCTTTCCCAACTGTCTAAAAATGAGCTTGTGCCCATTTCTCTAATGGCCGAAGGAAGGATTTATGAAGGCTAATCCTATGAAGGGAATAATTTAGGAAGCCTAACTCTATGGAGAAGCACTTTACAAAAACAGCAGGCCAGGGCTTCCCTGGTGGCGCAGTGGTTGAGAGTCCGCCTGCCGATGCAGGGGACACGGGTTCGTGCCCCGCTCTGGGAGGATCCCGCATGCCGCGGAGCGGCTGGGCCCGTGTGCCGTGGCTGCTGAGCCTGCACGTCCGGAGCCTGTGCTCCGCAACGGGAGAGGCCACAGCAGTGAGAGGCCCGCGTACCGAAAAAAAAAACAAAAAAAAACCCCAGCAGGCCAATAGTGACTCTTATGTCGAGTTCTGTACTATAATCGTTTGCCCACGTCAATGGATTTGTCACCTTTTTCCCTCTGGTCTAGAATTACATCATATCTCTGAGACAAATGATTTCCATGGCTTAAGGGTGAACTGTGGGTTGCAAACTCCAGCTCAAGCCCTTTCTGTGCTGTGTGGCCTGGGGTGACTCACTTAGCCTCTCTGATCCTAAGGGTCTTTTTTACCCTCACCTGTGGACTCCGCCCCCTCCTTGAGGAAGAAGAGTCCCGCCCCCATATTACTGGCCCCGCCCACCAGGGCGCCCAGGTCGTGGTGAGCGGAGCTCGGGTAGACACGCCCAAGCCCCGCCCCCAGCCGCCCTGCCCTCCTCGGGCTCCCGGAGCCTCTGAGATTCGTCACCCCACTGTGTGCAGTCGCACGTCCTTCTGGGAGTTGTAGTTTCCGTACACCGGCGCTGCGGGCCCGAGTCAATGTGCAGGCGCAGCGCGGCACCTTCTGGGAGTTGTAGTTCTTGACGGACCCGAGCGAGCCGCAACTCTCCCAGTGCGCACGCGCAGTCCGGGCCGGCCTGGCGGTTGGGCTTGTTTGTGGTGGCTGATACCTTGACCTGTGTGGCCTGCACGTCCGCGCCACCGCCGGACGAAGGGTCACCGGGGCTCCGCGTGGGCCGGATAGGCCAGAGACCGTGGAGAAACTGACCCAAACCCGCCAGCCTCGGCGGGAGCCGCCCAAGGCCTTCAGAGATGGTCCCAGAGGCGAGGGCGCCGCGGTGCGCATGCGCGATTGTGTGTACGCTTGTCCCCTGTGTGTCTGTGTGTGACGGTATGGTATGATCCCGACTCCAGCGGCGTGTTCCTGTGCGTGTGAGGCCTGCCCTGCGTGCCACTCCAGAACTTTGTGCCGGTGCGAGCGTGTAGCTATGTGTGTCACTGTGCGTGTAGGCCCGCCTGTCCCATCTGTGCATGAGACTTCATGCGAGTCCGTCCCCAAGTGTCACCACATGTTTGCACGTGCCTGACCCTAGCGGCCTGTGCCTGTGAATTTGAGCATTTGGGGACCTCTGCCTATCTGTGACTTTGGGCATGTGTGGAACTTGTTCTCCTAGGTGGGTGTGAGGTGTATAATTCCACACTTCCTGGCTGTGCAACTGCGTAGGGTGGCTGGGTGGGTGTGCCTGCCAGCATGGAGCTGGATGGTCAGGGTGTGCCTGAGTGGAGGGCTGTGCACAGGATATTGATGAGAGACACTGCGAGGGTGGGGGTGCTGCGTGTGTGTGTGTGTGTGTGTGTGTGTGTGTGTCTGTTAGCGCGTGGGGGAGACCCTGCAAACCTGCGGCTCTGTACATGTGCGGAGCTCTGCCCACCGCATGAATCTGTGTGTGACTAGGGGTGCCACTGTGGGTGGTGACCCAGGCCAGGCCTGCCCGTTGAGCAGGGCGGCATGTGTGACTTTGTTGTGTGTGTACCCATGTGTGCATGGGCAGGCGTGACCGCAGACGTGCTTGGAGTTGAGTGGGTGTGCGAGACTGCCTGCCTCCTTGTGTATGGGAAGGACTATGCCACAGCATATGGGTGACTGTGTAAGGGCATCTGAGGGCCAAGGCAGGGGATGGTATAACAGTCCCCCCCCGCCCCGTGTGGTTGCATGCAACTCCATGTGTGTGTCTGTGTGTGATGTGACATGTGTCTGCCTCTGAGCATGTTTCTGTCTCCCTTTTGGTTGCTTGCTTGTGCACCTGACTGGCCCAGGTGTACCCCACCCTGAATCTACTTACCTTCCCCACGTGCACACAGAGGAAACACCCTGCGTTCTTGCTTCACCCACCCACCTGCGCCTGCCCCAGCATCTTCCTTCAGGGGTCCCTGTTTCTTTTTCTCACAGATGCTGACTGGACCCACTGAGGCATGTGTGGCCACGGCAGGAGCCACAGCCTGAGTGACATGGACAGGACCCGATGCTCCCAAACCCACGAGGTGGGTACCACTGCCTGCTCTGGGGACCCAGTCAGGCCCCACTCAAGCCTGAGGGCTGCCTGTGGGGGTGGCACCAGAACTGGGACTGGCCCCATTTGGCTCCCACCAGCAAAGTTCTCACCTCTGCACAAAGACCCTGCATGGTCTGGCCCTCACCCTGCCATATCTAATCTCCCCTGCTCTCCGCCTAGGTCACTCTTCTCCAGCGCCCCCCAACCCTGCCCAGCCCCTTAACTGTTCCTCCATCACCTCCATAATGGTCCTGCCTTAGGACCTTTGCACCTGCTGGGCTCACGGCCCAGAATGCTCGCTCCATAACTTCCTCCAAGTCTTGGCTCATTGAGCCCTGCACTGGGGGACAAGCATTCCAGGTAGGTGGAACGGCCAGTGCAAAGGCCCTGTGGCAGGAGCATGCCTGGAGTGTTTGTGGAACAGGGAAGAGGCCTCTGGCTGGAGCAGGGCAAGCCCAGAGCAGGTGAGGGTGTTGTAGAGGCTGAGGTCAGGGAGATGCTGTGCAGGCCATGGAGAGGAGTGTGGCATTTAAGGAGCCATTAGTGATTTTTAAAAAAGTATTTATTTATTTGGCTGCTCAGGGTCTTAGTTGCGACATGCGGGATCTTTAGTTGTGGCATGTGGGATCTTAGTTCCCCAACCAGGGATTGAATCCGGGCCTCCTGCATTGGGATCTTGGTGTCTTAACCACTGGACCACCAGGGAAGTCCTGCCATTAGTGATTTTTAATTGGGAGAGGGAGGAAGAGGAAAAGCTCTGGAGCTAGGCAGCCCAGGTGTGGGTCCTGGTATTGCCACTTCTGGGAGCCTCACTGAGGAATAAAAGAGCTTAAAGGGTGATGGGCACATAGGTGTGTGTTCAACAGGTGCTGGTTATTTTGGCCACTATAATAATACACCCGAGTTGGCTTCAGAGTGGCTGGGACCAGTGCCTCTTAGATGTTCCTGTGCCCACAAACCACCCGGGGCTCTTATCAGAAGGCAGATTCCAAGTTACCAGGCCTGGAGAGAGGCCTGAGCTCTGCACTTGTCCCGGGCAGTGCTGATGCTGCTGGGCCTTGGGCTAGGGTGGAGCGGTTTTGATTTCAGAGTGGAAATCAGGATCTCTGTGTTGACGGCTGTCACGCTCTGTGTGCTAGTTAAGATGAAATGTCTCCTCCTGGTCCGGACATGTGGCCCGCCCGCCCGTGAAAACTTTCACTGGCTTCCTGTACCTGCTGTGCGTGTTCTGTGTGCCACACACACCTGCTCGTCGCCACCTGTAGCTTGTCTTTGCTGGGGTTGGGGTGGGGAGCACCAGGGGGATGAGGGGAGCTCAGAGCCTGTTGAGGGAGGCTCAGGCTCAGCATGCGAGTGTGACTTTGCACACAGCAGGGAGCAAGCTGGAAGCTGGTTGCTACTGGTGGGAGACAGACACAGGGCCTCTGGACCCACGTGAGCAGGGTCTTTCAGGGAGGGGTGTGCTGCTGTGATACCAGGAGAAACTCATCATCCCTAGGATGGCCCCCACTTGGCCCACCCACCCCAGGGGGCTGAACCCAAAGCAGGTCACTGACTGCTCTCCACACGTGCACATAGTCACAGGCACCAGGGATTAGGACTTCAGTACATCTTTTGCATGGACGCAATTGAACCCATAACAGCAGGGTTTAGAAACATTTTTGGTTGTCACACCTGGGGGCATCCAGTGAGTAGAGGTCAGGGACGCTGCTCAACATCCTACAAGGCACAGGATGGTCCCGCAACAAAGCATGATGTGACCCAGGCTGTCAGTAGACAGACCCTGCACTGATCCTTTTCCAGCCCGGGACAGGTGACAAACCTGTTTGGTTTTTTGTTGTCATTCTTTTTTTCTTTCTTTCCTTCTTTCCTCCTCTTCCTTCCCTCCCTTCCCTCCCTCCCTCTTTCCCTCCTTCCCTCTCTTTCTTTCTCATCCAGTAACGAAGATGTGAAATCGAGGCAGCAGCTCACAAAGCCGGGATGGAAGGACTCTTGACGGTTGCCGTCCAGCAAGACTCTGAGTTGGAAGAAACCCCGAAACACGAAGGTCATTTCAGGGATGGCCGGGAGAACCAGGAACGTTGTTTGAAGCAGGAGGTCCACGAGGAAGACCCCACTGAGGACGGCGTCCCAGAGCATGATGAATGCACCAGAACCCCCAGGACCAGATCGAGCCCCACAACTACCCAGGCTGACTGCAAGCCCCAGAGGCGCGGTGCACCAAGAAAGAACCCAAACCAGAAGAACACAGACGCCAGTGCAGAGGAGGAGGAGGAACGAGGTGGTGGCACCAGAAAGCCGTGGAAGTGTCAGGACTGCGGAAAGGCCTTCAGCTACTGCTCGGCCTTCACCCTGCACCAAAGAACCCACACGGGGGAGAAACCGTTCTCCTGCCCCGACTGCAGCAAGGCCTTTAGCCAGAGCGTGCACCTGATGCTGCACCGGCGGACGCACACGGGCGAGCGGCCCTACACATGCGGTGAGTGCGGCAAGGCCTTTAGCCAGGGCTCCTACCTGGCAGCGCACCGGCGCACACACACGGGCCAGCGGCCACACAGCTGTGTGGACTGTGGCAAGGCTTTCATGCGCCCCACGCACCTGGCGCAGCACCGGCGTGTGCACACAGGCGAGCGGCCCTTCGCGTGTGGCCAGTGTGCCAAGGCCTTTCGTAACCGCTCCTCCCTGCTGGAGCACCAGCGCATCCACACGGGCGAGAAGCCATTTGTGTGTGCACAGTGCAACAAGGCCTTCCGCTTCTCCTCGGCGCTCATCCGCCACCAGCGCACGCACACTGCCGAGCGGCCCTACGCCTGTGGCCAGTGTGCCAAGGCCTTCACGCAGATCACGCACCTGGCGCAGCACCGTCGCGTGCACACGGGCGAGAAGCCCTACACGTGCCCCGAGTGCGGTGCGCCCTTCAGCCAGAGCGCCTCGCTGGCCGAGCACCGGCGCATCCACACGGGCGAGAAGCCGTACACGTGCGCACAGTGCGGCAAGGCCTTCACGCAGGTGTCGCACCTGAGCCAGCACCGGCGCGTGCACACTGGAGAGCGGCCCTACGCCTGCCGGGACTGCGGCCGCGCCTTCAGCAACCGCTCGCACCTGGTGCAGCACCACCTCGTGCACACGGGGGTGCGGCCCTACAAGTGCCTGGAGTGCGGCGCCACCTTCAGCCACGTGTCCTCCCTAATTGAGCACCAGAAGGTCCACACCGGAGAGAAGCCCTACCGGTGCAGGGACTGCGGCCGTGCCTTCAGCCAGGGCTCGTCGCTGACGCTGCACCAGCGCACACACACCGGCGAGCGGCCCTACGCGTGCCCCAAGTGCGGCAAGGCCTTCAGTAACCGCTCCTACCTGATCCAGCACCACATCGTGCACACCGGGGAGAAGCCGTACGAGTGCAGCGGCTGCGGCAAGGCCTTCGGCTTCTCCTCCGCCCTCATTCGACACCAGAGGACACACGCTGACGAGAAGGTGGGGGACACCTTTGCCCAGTTGCCACACCTGACTCAACACCTGAGCTCTGACTGGGAGGAGGAGCCTGTTGACGGTGGTGGTCCTGCAGAAACCGTGGTGGACCAGCCCAAGAATGAGGGCTGAGGGCTGCCAGGGCCTCCTGTAGGCAGGCACCCCACTGAGCCTTTTATACCTCGTGCTCGGGCTCTCAGCAGTAGCGGGTAGATACTCTACCATCCCCATGTTGCCGATGAGGAAACCAAGGCTCTGGGAGGCTCCGTGGGGTGCCCGAGATCACACAGGAAGGATGTCACAGGGTCAGGACTGGACCTCGCATCTACCAGGCTCACCTCCACCACCTCCCTGGTTCAAAATTCTAATTGTGACCCATGAAAGTAGACCTGAAGATATATCTGTGGGTCTCTGGTCGTCCTTTTGATCATTTTATGACTGAGTAGACATTTGGTCCACACATTTAAATAAATAAAAGGTTCAGTTCCTTTGGTGCAGTTGGCATGGTAACAGGGAGCAGGGTCTTAAGAATAAATGTGGGGACTTTCTGGTGGTGCAGTGGTTAAGAATCCGCCTGCCAATGTAGGGGACATGGGTTCGAGCCCTGGTCCAGGAAGACCCCACATGCCGCAGAGCAACTAAGCCCATGCACCACAGCTACTGAGCCTGCACTCTAGAGCCCGTGAGCCACAACTACTGAAGCCTGTGCACCTAGAGCCCATGCTCTGCAACAAGAGAAGCCACCCCAATGAGAAGCCCACGCACCACAACGAAGAGTAGCCCCTGCTCGCCGCAAGTAGAGAAAGCCCGCACGCAGCAATGGAGACCCCACGCAGCCATAAGTAAATAAATAAATAAATTTATAAAAGAATAAATGTGGATCCCTAGGACTGAAACAGTGCTTCCAAAATTAGAGAAAAATGAGCAGAGAACTCCAGGGCAGGGGAAGTTGTTTTAGAAGGAAGCACCTCTGCCCTGACAGACCTGTGGAGGGTGATTTTTAGAGTGGACCCCAGTCTTTTTTTCAGTATGAGGAAACACCTCCCATTTCCAGATGTTTTCCCCCAACTCAAAGTCCTGACTTTCATGGTTGTCTCTGTTAGCTCTTGCCAAGTAACAAGTCGCCCAGAATGTCCATTTAGTGTTTCCCATGCAGGGTGGTTCTGGAGGTCTGGACCAGTTTCATTCGATGTTGGAAAGGGGAGGGCCCACCATACCAGCCCCTTTCTCGGACCTCTGGGAGTGTGGGAGCGCATAAGCACCAGCGATTGGCCACAGAGTGGAGGCGGGACTGAAATCAGAGCTGATCCTCATCGGCTGTCCACACCTTGGATTTACATTACTGCCACCACCTTTGTAAACTCAGTGCCTGCAGGACAGCCAAGTGGACTGCAGGTGTTCCCACAGTTGGGATAGTCTGGCATTAGCAGCTGTGTGGCCAGCCTGGAGTCTGGGCTGCTTCCGCTGCAGTCCCGATACCTGACTTTAGTGGATCAGTGCCTACAAATCTGTGCTTGTAGTTTTGTGAACACAGCACCTGAGGGACATCTGGGCTGATTTCTTGCCTTCCCACAGTGGAGGCAGGGCCGAGGGCAGTGCCAACAACAATGTACTTTGTGAGCGCACATGACAGGTGACAAGTGACACCACAGCATGCTGCCTGATGGGCAGCTCCAATTGAGGAATACTCACTGACTCCTCTCCCATCCCACCCCCCTCACACCACAGCTTAGAAATGGGTCTGGGGGCCTCTACTCCAACAACTAGGGAGCATGTCCTTACCCCAACAGGGCAGTGAAAACCACAGAGCAAAGAGGAGGCCCCACTCCCTATCCAGGGCAGGCTCTGGTCACCGCAACACCAGTCACACCCCCTATCAAGCAGATAATGGCCAGCACACACTGAGGAAAGGCGCAGCAGGCATCCATACTAAAAGCAGCCCTCGCACCAAAAGTACTAAAACCACGCAGGCTACACAAGGACATTCCATATAAAAATAGCCCTTGGGAGTTCCCTGGTGGTCTAGTGGTTAGGATTTGGTGCTTTCATTGCCATGGCCCACGTTCAGTCCCTGGTCAGAGAACTGAGATCCCACAAGACATGCAGCATGTTTAGCCAACATAAAAACAAACAAACAAACAAAAAAGCCCTCTAAGACCACAGTAGATAACTGTTCCTCCTAAACCCATAGGGTAAGAGAAATATAAGTAAAATGAAGAAGCAGAGGCATCACTCCAGATTAAAAGATCAAGAGAATTCCCCTGAAAGAACAAACAATGAAACAGACCTCCTCAGTCTAATAGACACTGAATTTAAAAAAGGAGATAATGAAAATACTGAAGGAATTAAGAAGAGCTATTGATAGAAATGCAGATTACTGTAAAAAGAAACTAGAAGCTATAAAAGGAACCAAGAAAAATTTAAAAATTCATTTGGTGAGCTGAAATCTGAGCTAAAGACAATAAATAGCAGATTGAATATGGAAAAGAATGAATAAGTGATCTGGAAGATAGAATAATGGAAATCTCCCAATCAGAACAGCAGACAGAAAGCCAAATGAAGGAAAAAAAAGAAGAAAGCAATATAAGAGACCTATGGGATAATATAAAGCATGCCAATATATGCAAAATAGGGATACCAGAAGGAGAAGAAAGAGAAAAGGGGATTGAAAATGTATTTGAAGAAATTATGGATGAAAATTTCCCAAACCTAAAGAAGGAAACAGATATCCAGGTACAGGAAGCACAGAGGGTCCCAAACAAGATGAACCCAAACAGACCTACACCAAGACATATCATAATTAAAATGGCAAAAGTTAAAGAGGGGATTCTAAAGGCAGCAAAAGAAAAACAAAGTTAATTACAAGGGAACCCCCATAAGGCTATCAGGTAATTTCTCTACAGAAACATTGCAGGTTAGAAGGGAGTGGCAAGATACATTCAAAGTCCTGAAAGGGAAAAATCTGCAACCTAGGATACTCTACCCAGCAAGATTATTTAGAAGAAGAATAGAATAGAAGAAGAGATAAAGAAATTCTCAGATAAGCAAAAAGTAAAAGAATACAGCAATAGTAAAACCTAGGCCAAAGGAAATACTGAAAGGCCTTCTCTAAATAGAAAAGCAGCAAGACTCTATAGGAAAGAGAAAATCACAACTGGAAAGTAAATCACTTAAATAAGCCAGTGCACAGATTTTTCAAAAATCAAAAAAAATTTCTGCAAAATTTTCTGTGAAAGTGCTGATAACCACAATGAATGGCAGAAGGATAAACATGCAGATGTAAAAGAGGACGTCGAAATCATACAGTGTGGGGGAGGAGAATAAGAAAGTGTAGTGGGTTTATTTTTTTTCAGAATGTGTTTCAGCTTATATGACTACCAGTCCAAGCAAGTAGATATAGGAAGAGGTTAACATACTTGAAAAACAGGGTAACCACAGATCAAAAAACATACAATAGATTCACGAAAACCAAAAAGAAGAGAACACAAGCATAATACAAAAGAAAATAATCAAACCACAAAAGGAAAAACAAAAAGAAAGGAACAAGAAGAAATACAAAATCAATGGGAAAACAAGGCTTAAAATGGCAATAAGTACATATCTATCAACAATTACCTTAAATGACAATGGACTAAATGCTCCAATAAAAAGACATAGAGTGGCAGGTTGGATTTAAAAAAAAAACAAAAAAGCCTACAATATACTGCCTACAAGAGACCCACTTTGGGGCAAAGGACACACATAGATTGAAAGTGAGGGGATGGAAAAAGATATTTCATGCAAATGGAAATGACAAGAAAGCAGGGGTCACAATACCCATATCAAACAAAACAGAGGCTATAAACAGGAAAGATAAAGAAGGACACTATATAACGATAAAAGAAGAGGATATTACACTCGTCAACATATATGCACCAATATAGGAGCACCCAAATGCATGAAATAAATACTAACAGACATAAAGGGGGAAATCAATGGGACTACAACACCCCACTCACATCAATGGACAGATCTTCCAGACAGAAAATCAATAAGGCAACAGAGATCCTAAATGATACAATAGAACAGTTAGACTTAATTGATATTTTCAGGACATTACATCCAAAAAAACCCCAGAATACACAGTCTTTTCAAGTGCACATGGAAAATTCTCTAAGATTGATTACACATACTAGGGCATAAAACAAGCCTCAACAAATTTAAGAGTATAGAAATTATTTCAAGCATCTTTTCTGACCACAAGAGCATGAAACTAGAAATCAACCACAGGAAAAAAAAATGAGAAAAACAACAATTACATGGAGAATAAACAACATGCTACTAAAAAACCAATGGATCAAGGAGGAAATCAAAGAGGAAATTAAAAAATACCTTGAGACAAATGACAATGAAAACAATCATACAAAATCTATGGGAAGCAGCAAAAGCAGTTCTTAGAGGGAAGTTCATAGTGATACAGGCCTTCTTCAAGAAATAGGAAAAATCTCAAACAAATTAACCTACCACCTGAAAGAATTAGAAAAAGAAGAATAAACAAAATCTAAAGTCAGCAGAAGGAATGAAATAATAAAGATCAGAGAGGAAATAAATAAAATGGAGATTTTTTAAAGCAATAGAAAAAAATCAATAAAACAAAGAGCTGGTTCTTTGAAAGGGTAAAAAAAATTGACAAACCTTCGGCCAGGCTCACCAAGAAGAAAAGAGAGAGGACCCAAATAAAATAAAATGAAAGAGGAGAAATAGCAACTGATACCACAGAAATGCAATTTAAAAAAAAAGAGAATACTATGAACAATCATACGCCAACAAATTGGACAACCTAGAAGAAATGGACAAGTTTTTAGAAACATACAGTGCACCAAAACTGAATCAAAAAGAAATAGATAATTTGAACAGACCAATCACTAGAAATAAAATAGAATCTGTAATTAAAAAAAATAAGACTTCCTACAAACAAAAGTCCAGGACCAGATGGCTTCACAGGTGAATTCTACCAAACATACAAAGAAGAATTTATATACTAATCCTTCTCAAACTCTTCCAAAAGATTGAAGAGGAGGGAACACTCCCAAAGACATTCTATGAAGCCAGCATCACCCGGATACCAAAACCAGACAAAGACACCACCAAAAAAAGAAAATTACAGTCCAATATCTTTGATGAATGTAGATGGGAAAATTCTCAACAAAATATTAGCAAACTGAATCCAACAACACATAAAAAAGGTTGTACACCACAACCAAGTTGGATTCATCCCAGGGTCACAAGGATGGTTCAACATACACAAATCAATCAATGTGATACACCACATCAACAAAAGAAAAGAAAAAAACCACATGATCATCTCAATAGATGCAGAAAAGGTATTTGATAAATTTCAACATCCAGTCATGATAAAAAGTTATGAAAGTGGGTATAGAGGGAACATATCTCAACATAATAAAAGCTGTTTATGACAAACCCACAGGCAAGATAATACTCAATGATGAAAAGCTGAAAGCCTTCCTTCTAAAATCTGGAATCTAACACAACATTGTAAATCAAGTATACTTCAATAAAATAAATTAAAAAAAAAAAAAGCTCTGAACGACTCTGATAAGACCAGCCCTAAACATGTAAATGAATAAAAGCATCAGCTAACTCA